AACAAGCACCAGATACAGTGTAGTAGGAAGCCAATCCCAGCTCAGGAGTGCTAACTAAACTACCGTTAAACGGACATGACTGTAACATCTGTTGCGCTGATGGGCCAGAAGTGTGGTTCGTCTTCTCCACAGAGTCCTCGGTGCAGAAGTTCAGTCCAGTAGTGAGAAAGGAGCCCACGATTCCGTCTCCTGGACCTCACCTCCGTCTCCTCAGTGCTTTCACAAATGGTCCTGGATCTCCCTGACAAAGCCTGACTTCAGTTATCACCTGACAGAACTGTCCTTTTGCTCAGAATTCTGCAGTCACTCATTCTGAAAAAGAGTCAATCTCCACTTATCAACAACGGGGCTCTGGGGCATGGGCTGCTCTTTGAGGGCTGGAAAAGATGTGACAGTCTCCTCTAGTCACTCAGCTGCAGCTTGCCTCTCTCCTCCCCGTGATCTTCACGTGGTCAGAGGTCAAGCTTACAGGCTCACTGGCTTTTACTCCTTACCTTTAAGTGTGGATGCTAATTTCAGTCATTATGCATGGAAATTTTACATATATTATCATTTTACATTCAAAACAAACATTTGGAAGTGGCACCTTTATCTCTAGAGAGATGAGACTCGGAGCACCTCAGACAATAAAGCTACAGACACCAGATTTAAACCTACTTCACCTGCCAGGGCACGCTGCCTGTCTGAGAGAAGACAGCTCTGAGGACAGGCCTTTCGGTAGCTCCTGGGAAACCCCTGAAGGCAACACCTGCCCGGGCTCTTCCTCCAGTGCCTCAGACTCACTTTCTACTGTTTCCCTTGCCAATTTTCACATTTCAAAATCTATTCCAGGCCAGGTAACAGGCACAGTGGCACGCCCTTTAATCTCAGCACTCAGGAGGCAGAGGCAGATGGATTTCTATAAGTTCAAGGTCAGCCTGATCTACACTGTGAGTTCCTGGACAGCCAGAGCTACACAGTGAGACATTGTCTCATATATTTTTAAAAAAGAACAGAAGAGGGAGGAGGGAATTTGTTAAGCTTCCTTTGTTGAAAACCTCTTGGGTGGCTGCTTAAATGACTGTTATTTTAGAAAATCAGAGACCTGTAGAACCTGGCTGATAATCGAGAAGGGGGCTCCAGCTGCAAGTCACACAAATGCTGTGAAATAATAAAGAAGGGAACATGCATTTGTTGATTGGCAGGTTGCTGCTGCTACTTCAAAATAAACAGACAAAATGACAGGAGAAATGAGGACGCCACATGCAATGTTTCAGCTCTAGACGTGGGCAGGTCACACCTCAGCCAGCTGGAGGATAAAATTGGGGGGAAGGGTCACAGAGAGGAACACACAAGCTGCTATAGCCTGATGGTCTCCAAACTTTCAAATGCATAACATCTTACACATAGTAGGTGCTCAACAGCCGTACCCATGGGGGGGGGTAGAGCTTCACAGCTGAGGAAGGTAGTGTCAGAGTTTGCACAGCTGGACATGCCAAGTGGGTGAACTGCACAGAACATGAACACATCTCCTGAGCGTTAACTCTTAAAGGTAAGGTTCAGGCTGAGAGAGACAAAGGGATACCATTACCCAAATGCCAACTGCCCCACCCCCACCTTCCCCAGCGGTCTCCTTCATTCTTTCAAACTTCATTCCATTGGGCAGATTTTCACAGCGATACCTGGGACAGACCCTGGAAGCAACCAAGGGCCAAATAAGTAGCTCAGAGAAGAGCAGAGGCGAACAGTGGGTGCCACAAGCCAGAGATGGGCCTTACTGCCATCTATTTTCCCTTGAACTGCAGAGTACTAGGGACCAGAGCTGAGTACCAAACGGAGTCCAAGTGTGAAGTCCTTCAGCCTGAAATGAGACCACACCTGAGAGGGTGAAAGGCTAAGACCACACCCAAGAGTGCCAGCGAAATGGGTGGGAGGCAGGGACACAGGTCAGGTTGGACGTTTGGGGAAGTGGCGGGTACCATGGTTGCTCTTGAGCAGTTGTGTCTCTTAAGTGCGCCATGTGTCATCGTACCTTAAATCTTGCCGACTCTGCCTGTGTGCACAGCCGCACACACAGTGCCTGGTGCATGCTCCATACCCACAGTGCTTCATCCTGTGTGTGAAGCATTTTCCAGGTGTGAAGCATCAGGCAAGAAGCAGGAAGGTATAAATTCTCCAGCCATGAAGCAGCAGGGGAAAAGCAGGATATATAAATTCTCCTTGGGAAATCTGACCAGTTTACCAGAAAGTGATTGTTTCTGTTGAGTTTCTATGTGCTGGCTCCCTTCAGGGGCTCACGCCCACCAAACAGCTTAACCCTCACTGGCCCCTGCAGGTGGGTGGGTGTGTTGTCCTCATCTCCATCACAGAAGTGAGAAAGCAGAGGCGTGGACACTAAGTGATGGGGAATGTCCTTCTGTACATACGCTTCTCTTATTGGTTGATGAATAAAACACAGTTTGGCCAATAGAGGCAGGAGGATAGGCGGGACTAGGAGACGAAGAGAATTCTGGGAAAGGTAGTCAGAGGGAGACCTCAGAGAGATGCCATGTAGCCGCCAAAGGGGTAACAGGCCTGGACATCCTCAGGTAAGCCAGGACCACATGGAAATACATAGATTTTTAGAAATGGGTTGATAATTAAGACAGAGCTAGCCAATAAGAAGCCCTAGCCATCATCCAACAGTTTTATAATTAACATAGCATCCATGTGTTTATTTGGGGCAAGGCAGAAGCAGGACCTGGCTGGAAGAAACCACAGCAACAACTAGGACATTTCAGTAGCAGGGCTGAGATGTTAATGCAAGTCTTCTTCACACCAGCCCTTGCTGTTCCACCAGTCCCCTGCCAGGCACACAGCTATGGAGACACGGCCTCTTAGCCACGGACTCACTGCTCCTTCAGAGAGTGGTTCTGTACAGACCTAAGGGAACTGCCCCAGTCAGGGTTATGAAACCTGTAACACTCTGCATAGCTAAGACTTCTAGAAGCTTCCAAAGAACATGGTTGAGAACACTAAGGGATTTTTCTCAGATTTCTCTAAACACCAAGCAATGACAATGTCCAGCCCTGGAGACCAGTTGGAAAAAAACTACAGCTGCCTGCTATCACTATAGCCAGGTTAAACATGCGCACCTGCTATCGCTATAGCGCCATTGCCAGGTCAAACACTTGGGTGACAGTTACTCACTACAGAACCGAGTAGGGGCTGGAGACAGCTCGGTGGCTCGAGCTAGAGCACATCTGCTCTTGCAGAGAATCTGATTTGGTTCCCAGCATCTGCACCAGGCAGCTCACACTCACTTTTAACTCCAGCTCCAGGGAAGCCAGCACCTCTGACATCTGAAGGCACCTGCACTCATGTGCACACATCAACACAGGCAGATGGATGGACACGTACATAATTAAAATAAAACAACTTTAAAAAATTTGACTAAACCAGGCCTGGTGGCCAATCTGAAATCCTAGACCTAAAGAGGCTGAGGCAGGAGGATTGCTGCAGGCTAGAGGCCAGCCAAAGCCACCTGGCAAAGGTTGCTTGTGTCCCCCAAGTGCCACTTACTCTATCTCCTGGCAACAGGCCTGCCAACCTGGCTAGTGAATTTGTTTTTTTTGGAACAGGGTAGCCCTGGAACTCACTGTGCAGCTGAGGCTGGGCTAGAACTCCTGATGCTCCTGCCTTCACCTCTTAAGTGCTTTGTGTGTTACCCAGCTTTGAATGCTATTCTTAAAGGAGGCTAAGGCTGTCACATGTGTGGTTTCTCTATTCTTACAGCACAAACAACTCTTGCAGTGATTCTCTGGTCTCTTGAGTAAACACTGATTTAGACAGATTAATATAAACATGACCAAAAAACCCCCCCTCCAAAAAAAAACCAGTGTTTTGATTTCTGACACTGAACCACTCAAGACAAAGAATTTCCTTAAATGATTCTTTGGAGGTGCTCTGTTTTGTTTTTGTTTTGTTTTCTGTTTTGGCAGCACTGCGCTGTGTCATGTAAATCCATTACCCTCACAGCTCTGCTGGGAAAGGCAAGCTGGCATTCAGATCCATTATAGAAATGTCACGGCGCAGGGATGAGCCCAAAGTCAGCTCCAAAATGTTAATAACTCTGATATTTTTGAAATATAAGCAAACAGTCCTACCTCATTTCATAATAATCCTCCCGATAAATGTATCATTTAAAAATGAAAATGTTTAAGGAAAAGAAAAGCACAGCAAAACCACTGAGTTACACAGTAGCATTCAAGTCCAGCGGCAGCTGTACACCTGAAATCCTAGCCCTTCCATTTGGAGCCCAAGGGCCAGGAGTTCAAGTTCTTCTTAGCTATAAGAGTGCTTCCAGTGACAGTACTGCTTGGGCCTTTGGGGTCAGATGGTTCCTCAAGCTCCAAACCTCCGTCCCCGAACACCCAGACCCTGGCCCACGACACTGACAACCTCCCGTCCTCTGTCCCCGTAGAGCAGGTGGGCTCGTCATGTCACGTGCTTGTGTCTACTCTTGCTGTAGTAGGAGAACCACGGGGCTCTGGGTCACCTTCACCACCCGAAGACCAGGCAACAAAGTCCAGGTCAGTGGTCACAGCTCACCACTCTGACTTAGGAATCCTTCCTGGTGAGACTTGAAGCTCAGATCCTCTCTCTCCTTCACAGGCTCCTTTGCCCACCACTTTATCTGAGCTGCCTCACTCTGGGGATAGCACACACTGAACAAACGCAGCGACGCCCATTGACAGGGTAAGGAACTCACATGGCTAAGTGCCCAAGGCCCGCAACCTTTGCTGATATTTCTTGTTAGAGGGTGATGCATATTCCCCCAGGATGGGAAGAAAGACGAGGAACCCTTGAGCATAGATGACACACAGAAGCAGAGCGCTAGCACCGATAATCTGTGTCAATGTCTGAGACTTGCCTTTGAGACCAAGTCCAGTAACTGCCAATCAGGGGCTGGCCCGACAATTCTGGGAGGGTCAGAGCACTGGCCACCCTTCCAGAGGGCCCAGGTTCAATTCCCAGCTTACCTTGCTCATAAAGCAGCTTCATGTTGGAATCTTTGTAAGCAACCAGGTTGTTGAGTAATGCGATCACACTCTGCATGGTATTGCCCAGAATGTTCTCCTGATGTTCCTGCAATAGACCAGACAGAAATACCAACATGTCATCCTCAGGACAACCAAGCACCTCTCTCTAGCATCCACCAAAAGGCTGAAGGGTTCCCTGTCTGTACTGTCACATAGCAGGTCCAGAAGTCAGGCCCTTTCCCCCAAAATCCCAGGAGGCCAAGAGCAGAGAGGGAAGCAGAGAGGGGGAGGAAGAGAGAGAGAGAGAGAGAGACTCAGCTTCTGTGCTTTAGGTGGGTGGCACCAGACATCAAAAGTATGGAGCTTAGGACACTATGTGTGACAGCAAGCTTGAGACCATGACACAAAATCATTTCATCAGATGAGTGTTGCTGTGACCCGCCACTCAAGCCATGTTGGATGTGACGGTCCTATCTTTGCTGGAGTACAACCTGCTGTGTGTGAGCTCTCAGGGGAACTTGACTTCCTCAGCAGGCAATGTCACATAGCAGGATAACACAGATCTGGGGGGGGGGGTTGTTTATGTTTTTCAAGACAGGGTTTCTCTGTGTAGCTCTGGCTGTCCTGGAACTCACTTTGCAGACCAGGCTGGCCTCAAACTCACAGAGCTCGGCCTGCCTCTGCCTCCCGAGTGCCTCCCACTGCCGCCCAGCTGTTAAGGCTATCTTTAGTCTTCCAGTTTCATGAAAGCTGCTTCTAAGGGCCAGAGAGGTCACCAACACAGCCAGCTTCCCTTGTACCACTTTGTCACCCCTTCCCTAAAAACTAAAGCCATCAATTACAGCTAAAGTTACTACATCTCACAGAATTCAACACAAGGGATGAGTTTTAAGTCTAGGGTTGATGTGAAGTGGGAGGGTGGACACACTAGGGTTGGATTCACACACACACACACACACACACACTCACACACACACACACACTCACACACTCACACACACACACACACTCACACACTCACACACACACACTCACACACACACAGACACACTCACACACACACACCCTCACACACACTCACACACACTCACACACACATACACACACATTCACACTCACACTCACTCACACACTCACACACACTCACACTCACTCACACATACACACACCACACACACACTCACACACTCACACACTCACACACACACACTCACACACACACAGACACACTCACACACACACACCCTCACACACACTCACACACACTCACACACACATACACACACATTCACACTCACACTCACTCACACACTCACACACACTCACACTCACTCACACATACACACACCACACACACACTCACACACTCACACACTCACACACACACACTCACACACACTCACACACACATACACACACATTCACACTCACACTCACTCACACACTCACACACACTCACACTCACTCACACATACACACACCACACACACACTCACACACTCACACACACACACACACC